CTGGAAGTGGCGCTGTGGCTCAAGTGGTAGAGCGCTAGCCTTGAGCTGAAGAGCTGAGGGACAGCGCCCAGGCCCAGAGTTCAGGCCCCACGACCCGACCCAAAAAAAGAAAAAAAAAAAAAAGGCTGGACTATGGACATGGTATTTTGTGAATGATCTTTTAAATAAAATAACCTTATGTAATGTTAAAAAAAAAATTGCTTTCTGTTTCTCACTAACTTTAAGGCAATCCTTGTAGAAACCACTTGTGAAAGCCAGAAAAGCTGAGGCATGAGACCTGAAAGGACTGGGAGTTTGGAAGGCCTTCTTCCCACTCTCAGGACTGAGTTTCCTGGAAAGGTCAATCAGTCCTGGCTTAACAAGAATTCCCATTTCTATACTGGGTGTGTGAGCTGTTTCCACCCTGAACTGCTTGGGAGTAGACTAATGTTTAATCAAATTGTAAGCTCTCATTCCCAAGATAAGGAGGTCTGCCACCACTAGTATACAAAATGCTGCCACTTGTTCTATTTAAACCTTACGGTGTGCACGTACTTTCCTATAGGAAACCAACAAAAAACCTTGGTGAATGGAACATTGGGATCTGAAGCTGGCATCCCAAATCTCAACTCCATAGTCCAGTCTCCGTTGCTGACTTGTGCTTTGGTTGCAGTGTGTTAAGGGGCACGTGCTGGCTTGCAACAACCCTGTACAAGAACCATGCAAAGCACTCTACTAACTCTATTAAACTCTCTCAACTATGGTTACCGTGCCATTTGATAATTACACAGGTTAAGGTCTCAGTCTTATGGGACTGCCTCTACTATCCACAGTTGTCACTTCTAACCAACCAGAGATAGTTTCTAACAATTCCCCATTCCACACAATTAAGAAAGAACTTCTATTACCAGTAGAAAAAAATAAGAATCTTCTTAGAAAAGCTAGGGCTGCCGGGCACAGGTGGATCACACCTGTAATCCTAGCTACTCAGGAGGCGGAGATCTGAGGATCAAGGTTCAAAGCCAGCCGGAGTCGGAAAGGCCGTGAGACTCATCTCTAATAAACCATCAGAAAACTGGAAGTGGCACTGTGGCTTAAGTGGTAGAACACTAGACTTGAGCTGAAGAGCTGAGGGATAACGCCCAGGCCCAGAGTTCAGTCCCCACAACCAATAAAAAAAGAAAAAAGCAAAGCTAGGGCTATGCCAGGCCCTGGTGGCTAACATCTGTAACCCTAGCTACTCAGGAAGCTGAGATATGAGGATCTCAGTTCAAAGCCAGCCTAAGGCAGGAAAGTCTGTGAGATTCTTATCTCAAATTGACCACCAGAAAACCCGTAGTGGAGCTGTGGCTCAAGTAGTAGAGTGCTCACCTCCAGCTGAAGAGCTGAGGGACAGTACCTAAGCCGAGTTTAAACCCCATGACTGTCAAAAAAAGAAAAAAAAAGACAAGCACAATGGTATACTGGAAATGGTGACAAAATGGCTAGACAGGAAATAGCCCTAGTGTCTGTGCAGCTCAGCAGCCTTGCCCAAGTGTGAATAATGTGTGGTAGCACTTGGGCTATGGCTCAGCCCTGAGAGCAAACAAATTGTAACCAAAATCTATCTGTATTTGTACTCTGAGGTGGTGATATTTGCACAAATTCCCATTACCTTATCTCAAAAGGTCTCAAGGGCAAAGGGAAATGTCCTTGTGGTCCTCTCAGTGACTCTCCAGGGCTATGTATGTGACAAGAATGTGTCCTTGGAGTAGCCATGTGAGATGGTTTCCATTCATAATGACTCCCTAGACTTGCATGTTGATATTCTGGTGAGCCAAGTGCTGAGGGAGAGATGGCTAACTGGTTTGGGAATGTGGCTTAGTGGTAGAGTGCTAGCCTAGCACACATGAAGCCCTGGGTTTGATTCCTCAGTGCCACATAAACAGGAAAATCTGGAAGTGGTGCTGTGGCTAGAGTAGTAGAGTGCTAGCCTTGAGCACAGAGAGGCTCAGGGACAGCGCCCAGGCCCAAGTTCGAGCTCCAGGACTGGCAAAAAATAAAAAAAGAAGCCGGGTGCCAGTGGCTCACGCCTGTAATCCTGGGCTCAGGAGGCTGAGATCTGAGGATCACGGGTCAAAGCCAGCCAGGGCAGGAAAGTCTGTGAGACTCTTATCTCCAATAAACCACTAGAAAACTGGAAGTGGCGCTGTGGCTCAAGCGGTAGAGCGCTCGCCTTGAGCTGACTTGCTGAGGGACAGCGCCGAGGCCCAGAGTTCATCTCCACGAGGACAATGACCAAGAAGAAGATTCCTCCTTCCTCAGCATCCTTATTCAACCTGACCCCCTACTCAGCCAGAGATTGAGGATAATTGATGACCGATGGCTGGTAAGGACTGATCCTCATACACAGATGTTCATCTTGGGAGGAAACCAGGCTAGGTGCATACCAGCTGGGAGTCCCCTAGTTCAGTCAAGATGACACCTATAGCCATCCCTTACAGTGGTCAGTGGTAGAATGGCTGACAGAGATACACTAAAATTGATGTCAAACGCTAAATTGTTTGAAAGTTATTTGCAGCTAGTGGTGAAAGAAGTATGATAAACAACCATTCATTCTCTACTGAGCTATTCCCTATAACCCAAACGTTTCATCAATAGTTTATGACTGGAGAAATTAATCTATCACTTCCCATCATTTACATTAATCACATAGCCCAAAAGAAAAAAAATGGTATTTTTCTGTACTTCGATTGGAAAGAGGCAAAATACCCAAGGCCGGGACAAAATGGCCTTGTGACTTAAACAGCATCTGACGTGGTAGACTGTCAGAGAAGACAGGCCACTCAGGAGTTGGGCTCTGACAGGATAAATAGGACAAATATCACAATCCAAGGTGGGTCTGCTCTTCTCTATTTACTGGTCTCTGTCTCTGCTTCTCTTCTCTGTATGTCTCTGTAATTCTCTCTCTCACACACACACAGTAACACTGAACTTCTGGACTGGGTCCAGGAGGGGTTTCTCATGCTGGG